TGAACCGTTAAGTCGGCCTCTGAGCGTTTCTATAGCGGCCGAGAGGGTGGTTTGTGCCACGGAGGTTCTTCGGGGATGCGTGCTAGAGATTTTGGGTTGCGTTTCCGATTGACCTAATTCCTATTGCGATGGGGGATGTCTGTGTCATCGTGGGCATGGACTGGTTGAGCCGATTTCAGCCGTCATCGACTGCGAGCGTCAGCTGGTGACTATACGAGACCCTAGTGGGGAGTTCTTACGGTATACGGCGAGGGTACCCGTTCGGGATCAGCTTTTTGTTCGGCCGCTAGGGCGAGGCAATGCCTACAGCAGGGATGTAAAGGTTTTGTGGCGTATGTGATGGATACGCGGGAGGACTTCCGAGAGACCGAGGACAGTGGAGGAGGTTCCAGTGGTGCGCGAGTTTCCAGATGTTTTTCCCGAGGATTTGCCGGGAGTACCTCCTGCGAGGCAAGTAGAGTTTGGTATCGATCTGGTTCCGGGGGCTGCGCCTATTGCGAAGGTGCCTTATCGTCTTGCACCTCCGGAGATGCAAGAGTTGTCCTCGCAACTCCAGGAGTTGCTGGGGAAGGGATTTATTCGGCCGAGTAGCTCGCCGTGGGGAGCACCGATTCTGTTCGTCAAGAAGAAGGATGGTTCACACCGGATGTGTATTGATTACCGGGAGTTGAACAAGGTGACGGTCAAGAACCGCTATCCGTTACCGAGGATCGATGATCTATTCGATCAGTTGCAAGGGGCATCTTGGTTTTCCAAGATCGATTTGAGATCAGGGTACCATCAGGTAAAAGTGCGGGATGAGGACGTCCAGAAGACAGCGTTTAGGACGCGGTATGGGCATTACGAGTTCGTGGTGATGCCTTTCGGGCTCACCAATGCCCCGGCAGTGTTCATGGACCTCATGAACAGGGTATGCAGGCCGATGCTGGATCGGTCTGTGATCGTATTTATCGACGACATCCTAGTGTATTCGCGAACTAGAGAGCAGCATGAGGGACATTTGAGGGAGGTCCTTGAGGTACTGAGGTCGGAGAAGCTATATGCAAAATTCTCCAAATGTGACTTCTGGTTGCGGGAGGTCCAATTTCTTGGACATGTTGTTAATCAGGCAGGGATATTGGTCGATCCGGCCAAGTGGAAGCGGTGATGAGTTGGGAGGCACCGAAGTCACCTTCCGAGATCAGGAGTTTCCTTGGGTTGGCGGGGTACTATCGGAGGTTTATTAGGGACTTCTCCAAGATCGCGGTACCGCTCACCAGGTTGACCCGGAAGGGTGTTACATTCTCATGGGGACCCGAGCAGCAGACTTCCTTCGAGACACTTCGTCAGAGACTGTGCGAAGCCCCGGTATTAGCTCTCCCGGAAGGGATGGAGGATTTTGTCGTATATTGCGATGCGTCGATTTCGGGACTGGGTGCAGTGTTGATGCAGAGGGGCCATGTGATAGCTTATGCATCGAGGCAGCTAAAGCCTCACGAGGCGAGGTATCCCACGCATGACTTAGAGTTGGGGGCAGTAGTGTTCGCTCTCAAAATTTGGCGTCACTACCTGTACGGGGTTCGTTGTACTATATACACGGACCATAAGAGTTTGAAGTATTTGATGGATCAACCCAACCTAAATATGCGTCAGAGGAGATGGTTGGACGTGGTTAAGGATTATGACTGTGAGATCCTATACCACCCAGGCAAGGCTAATGTGGTAGCCGATGCATTGAGTCGTAGGGCGGAGAGCACTCCATTGCGAGACGTATGTCTGAGATTGACGGTGATGACTCCGGTATTAGATGCTATTCGTGGGGCACAGGCCGAGGTTGTGAGATCCGAAATGCAGAAGAAAGAGCGGGTCGCTGGGTTAGTTTCGGAGTTCGTTAAGGATGGACGTGGACTTCTGACGTTTCAGGGTCGGATTTGGGTACCATTCGTGGGCGGTACGCGTGCTACTTTGATGGAGGAGGCTCATAGATCGAAATTCTCGATCCATCCCGGTGCTACGAAGATGTATTTGGACTTGAGAAAGGAATATTGGTGGCCTTGCATGAAGAGAGACGTCGCTTGGTTCGTTGAGAGGTGTTTGACCTGCCGTAGGGTTAAGGCCGAGCACCAGAGACCGCATGGTAAGTTGCAGCCCTTGGAGATTCCTGAGTGGAAGTGGGAACAGATTACGATGGATTTCATCACCAAATTGCCGAGAACTGCCAGAGGAGTCGATGCAATTTGGG